CCCTTGATCAGGAATCCTCAGTAAGGTGTCCTTCCAATGGAATTCCAAATAAGGAATCTTAGCTAAAGAACTCGCGCGAAGGAATCCTTAATCATGGGCCCGTAAGAAGAACTCTTAATGAGGAATCCTTAGTCAGGGATCCTTGTGGATCCTGCCTAGGGAGTCCTTAGTAAGGATTGCTTCATAGCGCCTCCTAAGTAAGGGACTTTTTAGTAAGGAATCCGTAAGAAAGATTTATTCGTAAGGAATCCGTACAATGAAATCGTTCGTAAGGCATCTTGGTTAAGGACTTTTAGTAAGGCACCTTTAGTGAGGAGTCGCTAACAAGAAATCAGCAATAACGAATCCAGACTAGGGAATCCTTGGTACGGAACCCTTAGTATGGGCTCCTTATTAGGGAAAGAGCGTGTTCTGGGGTTCGGACCCCCTCCCCCGTGCTTCCCCTCTCCTCGGGCCGGCGCTGCGCTTGGGTCGGCGGCGGCTGGCGACGGCGGTGGGGACCACGATTTCTATTTCTTGGCTGGCGCGGGCGCCTGCGGCGGCGGGCGGCGGTGGCAGGGAGCGTCGACGAGGACGACGGTGGTGGTGGTGCTGGGTTGTGGTGGTGGTGGTGGCGGTGGTGGTGGTTGTGGTGGTGGTGGTGTGGTGGTTTGTTGTGGTGGTGGCGGTTGTGGCGGCGGGTGGTGGTGGCGGTGGTTTGGTGGTGGTGTGGTGGTGGTTTGTGTTGGTGGTGGTGGTGGGTTGTGGTGGTGGTGGTGGTGGTGGTTTGGTGGTAGTGTGGTGGCGGTTTGTGGTGGTGGTGGTGGTGGTGGGTTGTGGTTGTGGCGGTGGTTTGTGGAGGTGGTGCTTGTGGTGGTGGTGGTGGTGGCGGTGGTGGTGGTGGTGTGGTGGTTGATGGTGGTGATGGTGGGTTGTGCTGCTGGTAGTGGTGGTGGTTGTGGCGGCGGTGGTGGTGGTGGTGTGGTAGATTGTGGTGGTGGTGGTGGTGGTAGTGGTGGTGGGTTTTTGTGGTGGTGGTGATGCTGAGTTGTGGTGGTGGTGGTTGTGATGGTGTGGAGGTGGTTTCTGGTGGTGGTGGGTTGTGGTGGTGGCGGTGGTTTTTGGACGTTTGTTGTGGTGGTGGTAGTGGTGGCGGTGGTGGTGGTGGTGGTGTGGTGGTTTGTGGTCGTGGCGGTGGGTTGTGCTGCTGGTAGTGGTGGTGGTTGTGGCGGTGGTGGTGGTGGTGGTGTGGTAGATTGTGGTGGTGGTGGCAGTGGTGGTGGTTTGTGTGGTGGTGGTGGTTGTGGTGGTGGTGGTGTTGTGTGGATTGCGGTGGTGTTGTGGTGGTGGTGGCTGTGGTGGTGGTGGTGGTGGTGTAGTGCTGGTGGTGGTGGTGGTGGTGTGGTTGAGCGGTGGTGGTGGTGGTGGTGGTTGTGGTGGTGGTAGTGGTGGTAATCGTCGCTGCGTCCCCCCGTCGCCGGCGCCAGCGCCGGCGCTGCTGGCCGCCGCCAGCGCCGGCGCCGAGGGGGGGGGGGGGGGGGGGAGGGGGTTTGACCCCCCCACCCCTTGGAGGGGGGGGGGGGGGGGGGGGGTTCGGGAGGGGGAGGGTTTGGGGGGGAGGGGAGTATCTCTGGTTTCGATCGACGGCGCCGAGTATTGGGAGGTGGCCCACCCCCCGGTTTGAATCGCGCCGCCGAATCTTCCCAAGGCAAGCGCCCGTGAAACGCGTTCTCTGTCTTATGAGGGAATCCTTGCTGAGGAATCCTGGATCGTACATCCGTATTCAGGAATCTTTAGTATGGAATCCTGGTTAAAAGGTTTCTTCAGTAGGGAGTCTTACTTAATGGATCCTTCAGAAGGAACCTGAGCAAAGTTTCCTTATTAATGGGGGTCGTTCGTAAAGGTGCCTGTAGTAAAGGAACCTTTTTTTTGGAGTCCGTAGTCAAGAAATTAACAATCACGAATCCAGATTAAGGAATCCTTGGTAAGAAACCCTTGGTAAGGTTTCATTACTAGGGAGTCTTTGCTGAGGAGTCCTTGATCGCACATCCGTATTCAGGAACCTTTAGTGCGGAGTTATGTTTCAAAGGTGTCCTCAGTAAGGAGCCTTTTGGTAATGGATGTTTCGTAAGGCAACCTGAGTAAGGTTTCCTTGTTGGGGGGTCGTTAGCAATGTGCCCGTGGTAAAGAATCCTTTGCGGGACCCCCTTTGCCAGGGATCAATCTGGGATCTTCTATAATGAATCCTTATAGCCTTCTTCCTTGGAGAAAACGCCCAAACCACCCAGGCCTTTATCGTGCCTGGTACGGGAGGAGAAGGAGAAGGAGGAGGAGGAGGGGAATAAGAAGGAGGAGGAGGAGGAGGAGGAGGAGGAGGAGGAGATGGAGCAGCATCAATCATGGATTTGCGCACGCTGCCGGCTCACATGCGCACTGCACTGCGGCCCCAGAGGCGATGCAGAACAACCCGGACCCGGCTTCCTGCTACCCAGAGCCCCTTGTCGGCCTCTCCGCGCTGGAGGCTAGCTCTCGGTGGCCCCCGCCTTGCAGCGGGCGCAGCTTCGAGAGTCGAGGCCTTGAGGACTTGATGATCGACCAGGGATCGACCGAAGGGGGGGGTCAGAGGAGGAAAAGGTACCCATTCCGCTACCCTTCCCTCGTTTTTCCCTTGGTCTGGGCCTTCTGGGAGGCCCCCGTCGCCACCGCTGGATTCGCCTCGAAATCCTTGTCAGAGCGCACCCCAGGAGAGGTCTGGGCAGAGTCTGGGGAGAGGGATCGGTCGAGCGCTCAGTTCCCAGGGCCTCGAGGCCTCGGGAGTCCGGGCCTCGCAACTGGGGGCCGAGCAGGTGGGGTCGGAGGGTCTCGCCGCGTCGCCGATGCCTCGGCGAGGCGGCTCGATGTGGAGCCCGATTTTCTCCGCGCTGGCGTCGCCGATGCACCGCCCACATGGCCGATGCAGTGCCGATGCATCGCCGATGCATCGGCTGTGCGGCGAGATCCTCCGAGCCCATCTGCTCCGACCCCATCAGGGCTGGGCTCCAGAGGATCGACCGGGGATCGTGGGGTCAAGAGGTCGGTCGACTGTCAAGGTCCCACGGGGGATCGCTGATCGCTCCCCAGCTCCCGCTCCCCGTCCGTCGGCTGCAGCTAGCGCGCGCGGCTGCGGGCAGGCAGCAACCGCCCCGCGAGGATGCGCGCAGGAGTGACCCTCTGCATGCAGGCCGGCCACAACTGGGGGAGCTGTGGTCCTGATCCCCTTGGGGGACCCGTCGGATTCGGCGCCTCTCCCGAGAGATCGTCGGCACGATTTTAGGCCTCACAGACGGACTCGGAGTGGATGGGATCGGAGGATCGCGCCGCATTGCTGATGCATCGGCGATGCGGCTCAATGTGGAGCCCGATGTTCTCCGCGCCGAGGCCGCCTATGCATCGCCGATACATCGCCGATGCATCGCCGGTGCAACGCCGATGCGGCGCGATCTTCCGACACCATCTACTCAGACCCCATCTGGGAAGCCTCTGACGATGGGTTGCCCCAGGGGGTTCAGGACCACCGCTCCCCCAGTTGTGGCTGATCGGCTTCGCCGCACTGGCCTTCGTTGCGGGCCCACTGGGGTTCCCCCGCAGTGCCGGCTTGCCCGCTCGGTCTAGGCTCCCCGCAGCCCCTGACAGCCGCGCACCCGAGGTTGCTTTCGTGCCCAGGGTCACTCCTGCGCGTGGCCGCCTGGGGTGCAATTCCCGGGGAGTTTGGTTCGGGGCATTTGCGCGGGTGCATCCGTGAACGAGGATCAGCCTGATCTGGGCTCAGTCCCGCTTGATCTGGCTCAATCCTGGACTTGATCTGGCTCAATTCAGTTTGATAGCCACCTAACCGTGCTTTACCGGTTCCCACGAAGACTTCCCATAAGTTGCCTCGTAGAAAGGTGGGGGGGGCGGAGACCCAGGAACCCAAACCCCTTGGCAGAAGAGATCACGACGAAAGGGTCTTGGCAACTTCTGGCCTCTGGCCCCCACTCAGGATGAAAGGCTGGTGCCGGGGAAGGAGGTCGAGACGTCCAGTACCGAAAAACACACGCACGTCGCCAGACGTCCATGTGTCGAAGGAGGAGGGAGCGGATGGAGGCATTGGGGGGCCAGGAGTGGAGTCACGAGGCGAGCTCAATGAGCGCATGAGTTCGCTGACTTCGGCCCTCCCTCTTCCCGCCCTCTGCGCCAAGCGGCTCCTCTCCACTCCGTTCGGCGTCGCGCGCCGCGTCTTGCGCGCACGGAGCAAGCCGGGCATCGTGGCCAGCGCGGTCGAAGAGATGCGGCACCTCTCGGCCAGGGTCGTCTCGATCTCCCTGTCGGGCACAGGGCTCCACACCACAGGGCCGTAGGGATCCCGCTGCACAAGGTCTCACCCTACAGGGTCGCACCCCGCAGGGTCCCACCCAACCGGTCCCATCCCACAGGATCCGACCCCACAGGGATCCCGCCCAGGTCCCACCTCGTAGTTTGTGCCCCACCTCGTCCCCACGTGTGGACGGGATTCGGAGGAGGGGTCGGGACGGGGCCCGAGCAGTTTCTTCCACGAGGGGCAAGGGTATCTTCCCTGTTGTTGTTGATGTTGTTGTCGTTGTTGTTGTTGTTGTTGTTGCTGCTGCTGCTGCTGCTGTTGTTGTTGAATATTATTACTTCTAAAGAATAATTATTGTTGGGCCCCCTGGTGCACGCCCCCCTCGCCGCGCCTAGGCCGCAGCCACATTTTCATCATTTTCGTGAGGAAGCCTCAGGTAAAACGATGTGATCCAGATCCGGTTGTTTTGTTGTAATCCGTTTTCCCTTGCAAAAAACACTATAAAATGACATTTCTTGTTCTAATATAATCAAATTTCAAGAATCCCTTGCAAAAAATAAGGTAAAGTGGACATTCGCGCGCGCAAGACGAAATCCTTCCAAAAGCTTAGTGTTCGGAGCGATTTTAACATAAAAACATCAAAAAACCACTGGTTTTTCAACAAAAAAATGTCAAAATCTCATCCCGCGCGCTCTTGCGGATTCGTAGGAAACCCAACACTTTTTAAACATTTCTGTCAAACGGGCTTTTGCGAGCAATTTTTTCACGTGCTTCGAACTTCTGCAACAACGGTTGCGCGCATGGCAGGGCCATCATCCCTGTCAAATAATACCATATGGGACACATTCGTTTTTTCTTCGCGCGCGCACGCCGAAATCTTCCACGAAAAACGGAAAAACGTCGGAAAACGGTACACGTGCCCATTGTTGGAACAGGGGTATAAGTCGTATACTAAGCTAGTTTCCACAAGATGTTACCACAATAAGTCATTGTAACCATGCGCCAGTGTAGTAGCCAAGGTCGTCCGCAGGCCACGAAGTGAAGTGTCCGAACGTCATAGGGCGGGAAGCTGGGTGTGGGTGGTGGCGAAGAGTCGTTTGGAAACTTGGTAGAGCTTGAACCGGCCCCCCCACAAAGTGGGGGTATTGCCGCCTCCTATGAAAACCCTGGCACTGGTGAGAACGGAGTGTCCCCAGTCTTAAATGATTGTTGAACATTATTAATTCTAAAGAATAATTATTGTTGGGGCCCCTGGTGCACGGCCCCCCTGCGCCGCCTAGGCCGCAGCTACATTTTCATCATTTTCGTGAGGAAGCCTCAGGTAATACGATGTCATCAAGATCCGGTTGTTTTGTTGTAATCCGTTTTCCCTTGCAAGAAACACTATAAAATGACATTTCTTGTTCTAATATAATCAAATTTCAAGAATCCCTTGCAAAAATAAGGTAAAGTGGACATTCGCGCGCGCAAGACGAAATCCTTCCAAAACCTTAGTGTTCGCAGCGATTTTAACATAAAAACATCAAAAAACCAATGGTTTTTCAACAAAAAAATGTCAAAATCTCATCCCGCGCGCTCTTGCGGATTCGTAGGAAACCCAACACTTTTTAAACATTTCTGTCAAACGGGCTTTTGCGAGCAACTTTTTCGAACTTCTGCGACAACGGTTGCGCACCTGCCAGGGCCATCATCCCTGTCAAATAATACCATGCGGGACACATTCGTTTTTTCTTCGCGCGCGCACGCCGAAATCTCCAAAAACCATTGGGCTTCTTAAGAATTTTAGCACCGCGCATCATAAAATCACACGAATCGCACCGTAGGTCCTCGAAAAACACCTGCACGACTTTTCAAAATTTCTACCCGCGCGCGCTGTCCGAATCCTAAAAAATGATCAACTATCTTGTGATTAACGTCATGTGTATCATGTGTATCATGTACCATATGCATCATATGCAACAGATGTTCTGTGGAAGGATTCACAACTTCTGTGGGTTAACAAGGCTTAATAACTTCTGTGGGTGTATGAACGTAGGCTTAACAATTTCTGTGGGTGTGTACTCCACGCCAGTGTAGTAGCCACGGTCGTCCGCAGGCCACGAAGTGAAGTGTCCGAACGTCATAGGGCGGGAAGCTGGGTGTGGGTGGTGGCGAAGAGTCGTGTGGATATTTGGTAGAGCTTGCACTGCCCCCCCACAAAGTGGGGGTATTGGCTGGCGTCGCATGAAAACCCTGGCACTGGTGAGAACACTGAGCGTTCGGGTAAAGTGATTGTTGTTGTTGTTGTTGTTGTTGTTGCTGCTGCTGCTGCTGCTGCTGCTGCTGTTGTTGTTGTTGTTGTTGTTGCTGCTGCTGCTGCTGCTGCTGTTGTTGTTGTTGTTGTTGTTGTTATTGTTGTTGTTGGTGTTGTGGTCGTCGTCGTCGTCGTCGTTGTTGTCGTTGTTGTTGTTGTTGTTGTTGTTGTTGTTGGTGTTGTTGTTGTTGTTGTTGTTGCTGTTGTTGTTGTTGTTGGTGTTGTTGTTGAACATTATTACTTCTAAAGAATAATTATTGTTGGGACCCCTGGTGCGCGACCCCCCTCCAAAACCTAGGCCGCAGCTACATTTTCATCATTTTTTAGCGAAAGCTTCAGAAAAGTGAATTATTACCGGATCCGGTTGTTTTGTTGTAGTCCGTTTTCCCTTGCAAAAAACACTATAAAATGAAAATTCTTGTTCTTACTTGATCAAATTGCAAGAATCCCTTGCAAAAAATAAGGTAAAGTGGACATTCGTGCGCGCAAGACGAAATCCTTCCAAAACCTTAGGTTTCGTAGCGATTTTAACATAAAAACATCAAAAACCCAATGGTTTTTTAAGAAAAAATTGTCAAAATGTCCTTCCGCGCGCGCTGTCCGAATCCTACAAAACCAATGGTTTTTCAACATTTATGTTACATGAGCTCGCGCGAGCTACTTTTTCTTGTTCTAACATAATCAAATTTCAATAATCCCTTGCAAAAAATAAGGTAAAGTGGACATTCGCGCGCGCAAGACGAAATCCTTCCAGAACCTTAGGTTTCGTAACGATTTCAACATAAAAACATCAAAAAGCCAATGGTTTTTCAAAAAAAAATGTCCAAATTTCATCCCGCGCGCGCTGTCCGACTCCCACAAAACCAATGGTTTTTCAACATTTATGTTACAT